AGCGCCCGCAGCCCCGCCGCCAGCTCCTGCTCCCGGCCGCAGCGCCATCTTCCTCAGGCCGGCCGCCGCGGCGCCAGCAGCTGTCAGCTGAAGACAGCCACTTCCGGGGCAAACGCCAGGCCCCACCTCGCCCGGCAGAAGGGGCGGGGCCGCGAGCCCACGTGAGCCCGCGCCCGGCCGAGCGGCGCTTGTCACGTGAGCCGGAGCGGGTGGCGGGGGTTACAGGTGCAACGCAGGCTCGGGGCTGGTGGGCGGCCCCGGGAGTGAGCTGATGCTTTGTCTGGGAAAGCCCCACTGCAGGCCCGTTGCTATCCTCTGCAAATGCGCACATCGATCAGTGCAGAGGCGGAGTTCTAATTTTTAAACTCGATAATGGGTACACGGGTGTTCTTTCATTGTTACTCCTTACGCATCAAGAGTAGATGGATCCTGGGTGGGCCCTTAACAGCGCCAGTTCGTGATCAGCCCTCTCTACACTTTCCCTGGTACGCCGCAGCTTCCTTTTGGCAGCCATCTCAAGACACCAAAGGTATTTAAGATTTTAGTAAGCCAACCAACAACACCCAAGTCCAATCCACATTAAAAAACCTCCGAGGTGCACTATTCTTGGGATCGACTCTGCCATCATGCCACTTGTAGGCCCTTTGTTTTTCCTATTCTTTCAGCCTGGGACAAAAACGGTGGTGTGTATGTGTGGGGCACAATTAGCCTGACCTATCAGGGCGTGTTTCCCACCCTCTCCTTCCCCGCCCATCAAACTAACACCTAGAAGTAAAATACAAGTGAAACTTTTGAGCTCCCAAGTAATGAATTAATTGTAATTAGCCTTTTTTTGTTCTTCCACTCTTGCCTCAGGTCTTTGACGGAGAAACAATTTGTATTAAGTTATTACTTACTGAGTGTAACTCACTAGTCAGGAACTTTATGTGCATTTAAAAACTCAGGGCGTCTAAGGGTATTGGCATTTTACAGATGAAAAAAATCAATCTAAATCAATTGTAACTTGCCCAGATCATGCAGCTATAAGCAGTAGGGCCAGAACAGACACAAGTCAGTTTCACTCCAAAGTCCTTGCCCCTTTCACTTGCACCAGCTATTCAGTTATTGTATATTCCTCATCTTAGATGTCCATTCACTCATTTCACCCCTCTTTACTTGGGCAAAGCTGAGATTTACATAGCAGATAGCTCCAAATGGTATAAAGGAGTTTAATGTCAGAATTAATCGATTGACAAAATAAATTGATGCGGATAGGGTGGTTACACAGGATAGAATACTTAAAAAGAAAAAAATAAGGGAATATTTCAAAGATTGCAGAAGATATGATCTTTGTGCCTGGGATACTTTGTTCATTTTCTTTGCTTATTAATTTCTGAATCTGCAGGACTCAATTCAGGATGTTAGCCTTCCATGATATCCTGGATCTGGGTTAGACGGCATCCCCACGGTGCTTCCCCAACATGGCCTTGTATCTAATAGCATTTGCACACTCTTTGTTCATTCACTTTTCTCCACTGTTAACTGTAGAGGCAGGAGTAATTATCAAGCTTTATATTCCTACAAAAATCTTAAGAGCTTATAAAGGAATATTTGTTGTGGATTTACTATAGTAGTTTCAAGCACAGTGCTAGACTTCCTACTTGGGATATATATAGTTTCAGAGATGAAAAAAATGGATTACATATATCTCCAGAATATATGCTGAACGAGGATCTCTTCATAAGAACAAAAAACCATGTATTTGTAAGATAAGCAGTTTTTATCCCATCTGCTGTATTCAAGGCAGAGTGTACCTGTTCTGACTCTAGAACAGAAGGTCAAGTAAACCAAGTTTAATTCAAAAGCTGCTGAGGAGTTCCCCATATAGTATTGTGGTGATATGGATAATGATTGTGTCATTCCAGGGCACCAGTTTAAGTGCCTTATTGTATAAAGTGTTTTTAAATTCTACTGTACAAAACTAGTAACTGAAACAAACGTGGCTTATCAACAATAGCCTCAGTCACCATGTGCTCATAAGGATGAAGGGCCATCAAGCCTCAGGAAAGAGAAGCTGTAAGAGAATGAGGCCAGAAGTGTACAGAACAACATGAACTTCCCTCCTTATCCAGATAAATGATTTATCAGTTTTGAACGAAATCATCTTGAATGAAGAGACAGGAAGGAGCATGATTAAATGACGGAGGATGAAGGGAGAGGCTGATCATCGTCTTGTAGCTCCAACATTATGACGGCTAAGTGCAAGCATCTTACCAATGAGGTATAAGGATACTTAATAGACCAAACAATTTACAATTTTAGGGAACTTGAACACCAGCCACACATGACACATCTCTACTGTTCACACACCAAAGGCTATCAACAAATTAATAGTAAAGAAGCAGTAGGTTTCTATCTGGTAGCTAGCTGTTGTTTTTTGTCCATCCAGAAAAAAAAAGCAAATAATTGTGTGAAGGGGTAGGAGGAACAATCTTAAGGCTTTCTTAAGGCTTTATTTTAAATTGTGTTCCTGATGTCTCTCCATGGCATACATCACACTTTCCTTCACACTTGAAGGGAAAAATGCTTAAGAGTTCACCACATTTGGGTGTTATTTAGCATAAGGTTTTGTTCTTCTATAAGAAGTATCTCTCTGGATTCAACCACAGAAGTATCAATGAATGCAGTTTCCATTGTACAGTTTTCACCTTAATTAAAATCTGACATGATACATTAATAGTTTAGGATCATTCCTCACAGTTTTATGTACTTGCAGTTGATTCCAAATGTTTGGTAGCAGTGATTACAAGCCCTGAAGTATTCTATGTGAAGAACATTCATGCTGGGACCATAAAATTACATTTCTGTGATAGTCTTTAAAAAGTCTGTTTTTTAACTTTTGTTTTCAAGAGCTACCTTCTTGCTCTTCTGGCCAGTGACCTTTTTCCTGTGAAAAGAAAATAAAAGTTGGATCAGATATTCTCTATATACTTACTTTCCTGTAACTGAGAATTTAATAAACATATAATGAAACCTACTGTATATCAAAGTATATGCAGCACGAGGAACACAATGATGCATTAAAAATGGTCTTTGCCCTTCAGAAAATCGCTATTACCTAAATGAGACAGTAACATCACAATAAACTACACTTTATAAAGTATTAAAGATTGATTCTGAGCTAATAATGGAAGTTCATATTGATTCAGTGCTTACTAAGTATTGTTTCACATGCATTAACTTGGGTAATTTTACTATTGACTTATGAAAATTCTATCAGTTTCATTTTGCAGATGGAGAAAATGAGGAACAGAGTGGTTAACAACTTGTCAATCATCACACACAATAACCATTAGACATGAACCCCAACAGTTTTTGACTGCAGAGCCTTGTGAATAGTAAATGCCATTAACTATTCACTACTAACTAACCAATAACTGCTAAGTGTAACACAGGAAAAGGAAAATAATTTCAAGAATGCCTGTATACTGTAAGTTCTTTAGTATATAATAACTCATTTACTCCACTCACCAGCGCAAAGCAGCAACTTTTATAATTTATATAATTATTTCCATTGGGGGAAGAAGACATGAGAGTTGAAGTAAACTGTCCAAAGTCACATACAAAAGTATCAGAATCAATTCCCTGACTCCAAATTCAGTGTTCCGTCCCCAACTCCAGTTATAACAAGTTCAGCTTACAGTCCCTGAATTCAAGTCCACTAGGCAACAATAATGGGCAGTGGGGCTGAACCACTTCAGCGTAAGAGTTATCAGTGAGGGAAGGAACTGGGACTCCAGGCATGGGAAGGATCATTGAAGGAACATCTATAGTGGAGAGGTAAGCCACCAGCAGATCAGGATGGGTCTTATTTACATGCTTTAAGAATGATGGCTTTTAAATGTAAAAAAATGAAAAAAGAAAACATTTTAGGCAGATATGACAAGACTTATACCAAATGTCCTCCAAATCTTCACACTGCTAAGTTTCAATGACCCTGGAACTGAACTGGGGACATGACTCAGTGGCAGAGTGCTTGTCTAGTATGCCTGAGGCCCTAGGTTCAATTCCCAGTACTATACAACAACAAAAGCCTTAGAAACATAAAAAAAATTGATGTATTTTATTAAATTTCAACCCAGACACCATCTTACACTCTAGCTGATTAATGAAAAAAACCAACAACAATAAAAATCCCAAAGTCCATAATGCAGGTCTCAAACATGCACCCTGTCTCCACCCCTGCTCTAGCTGGTTTTCATCCTATGTAAACGCTCACAGCAGTGCTGCTCAGTGCCCGAAAGGACTGCATTTCTAATTTTAGCTGCAAGACCATACAAAGAATGTTCTGATGCATGCATGACAGTTCTGCTGTGAACCCCTCCCATGTTCCCTGCCTCTCTTACTGGTCTAAGTGTCACCCAGAAACTGTCACCACAAAAACCAAAATAAATACTATATTATTAATTCACAAAACAGAGTAAGTAAAGTGCAATTAAAATTATTAGCCTTTCATGTGACATTTTTGTTGAGTCTGTGGCATTTATTCTTCACCCCCAATCTTAAAAGTGCACTAAAACTTTGAGGCATTGTGTACACCTCAACTGAACACTACCTTCCTCAGTGTACATCAAAATGTCACGTAAGACTCTGGGCCCCCTTACAAGGAAAATACATACCAGCTTCCGTGCCTTTCTTCACCCTGTTCCTTTTCCTTGCCCCAAGATCGTTTTGCCTCCTTCAACCTTCCTGTAACTATGCCTATCCATAATAATCTTGCCTTTTTCTAATCTCTAATTAAAATCACTAACTTTTTATGGATATTAACCTCTCTTCCTATCTTCAGGAAAGGTAGCTTGTTGTATATTCATTTGTGTACTTTATTACCACTAAGCACCTTGTAGCTAACGAACACTTTTTTTCTGATCATTTTCAGGGAATGGATGTAAGGCAATGGAAAGAAGCATTAGTTTATTTCACAACAGTATGTAGTATCCTAGGATATTGATGACATTTTCAGGAAACACATTCTCTCTCTAAAGAAACTATTAGAATGAGGCAATTCTTTTACAGCATATATTAATCTAGTAATGGAGGACTTTGAAGAGTATCATTTTCCTTAAATAGTGGAAAGACTACTACTGTTCAGAATACTTTTGGCCTACCTCTACCAAAACATGTAGTCCTAACACTTTGTGCAAAATAAGGTAGACTTGTATGTATTCTACAAGAATTATACTTTAAAAACCGCAAGAACTAGGCCAAGCCAGGTGTGGTGGTGCATGCCTGTAATCCCAGCACTTAGGACGCTGAGGCAGGAGGATGGCTGTGAGTTTGAGGCCACCCTGGGCTACAAAGTGAGTTCAAAGCCAGCCTGAATTGCATAGCGAAACCCTATCTCAAAAAAATAAAACAAAACATCACCAAACTAGGCCAAGCCGGTATAAATTTACCCAGGTACTACTTGTTAGAGGTTACAGTGTGCTTCAGCATAAGCCTAACATTATACTGAAATCTGGCCCAGAACAGGAAACTTTAAGGAAGGCTTGATCAGTGTATCAGCTTCAGTAGCATGTCCTGATCCACGCTATGCGGACATAGTGGACAATTCATAGTGAACTGAAACCATGTTTTCAAATATGGAAAAAAAACCTAGATTTACAGAAAAATTCCAAGATTCAGTCAGCCAAGTTCCCAAATAAAAGGCAACCTGGGGTAATTTTTTTACATCAAATTCTACAATGGGCTGTATTAATTCTACCTCTAAAAGTTTATCTGAAGAAAAATTTTGCCTATCATAACTGTAAGAGTCAAACATTAACTGTTTAATTTCTTACCATATATATACTTACCGTTTACCTTTATCTTGCTCTAAGAAATACTTTGGAGTTGTGCTAATACTCTCCCTTTCCAATGGTTTCTTAATCATCTTTTTCTTTTGTTTGCTGAAGTTACAAAGAAAGGAAATAAATTAGGTGAAACTTCATTTAGGAAAACTAAAGCTAAAACTAGTTCTGATTCTTGATCCCAAAATTCATTTTTTAACTACTTACAGATTTAACGTAGGGCAGTATCTACTTTAATAAACGAAATTACCCAACGACACTTAGCTATCTCAAGGGATGATAAATTCAATCAAATCTTTCAAAAAGCTACTGACTGTTACTAAAATGTGTCTTATGGAAATATTATAGCCTATATCAGTAAGCATTAGAGTTTGATTTTGACCAATTAATTTTTTGTTCATCTTAAGAACTGAGATAACTCTAAGTGTGTTTCACTCACACTGAATAGTTTTTAAAAAAAATCTCAATATTTAAAATTTCACGGATGAAAAAACTGGGAAGGAAATAAGTCATGAATATGAACATGAAAAAATTTTTAATCTTAAAAATACTCTATAATTAATGCTTGACCTATAATGTGTAAAGAGAATGTAAAACCAAAAGTGCATGAAGAACTATATGTACACGCACATTCATGGCGGCATTATTCACATAGTTACATGGAAGCAAACTAAGTGTCCATCAACCGATAAATGGGTAAGTAAAATGTGATATATGCATACAATGGAGTATTATTCAGCCTTAAAAAGGAAGGAAATTCTGACTATACAAATGGATGAACCTTGAAGACACTAGGCTAAATAAAGTAATTCCCCCAAAGACAAATACTATATGAATTCTACTCATATGATGTGCTTACAGCAGTCAAAATCAAAGAGAAATTAGAATGCTAGTTGCCAGGCCTAGGGGCAGGGAAGAATCAAGAATTACTGTTCAATGGATACAGAATGGCAGTTTTGTAAGCAGAAAGGAGCGGACGGTGGGAGTTAATACACTGAACTATGTGCTTAAAAATGGTTAAGATAAAAAAGGTTAAGCTGGTTTTTTTTTTTTAATTTTTATTTTAAAGAATAAAAGAAGGATAACATAATAATAGGGGGGACTTAGCAAATTACAGACAAAATGATAGGAAATTATCAATGGTTATCGTTTTACATATTATTATCTACAAAATAGTTTCTCAGGAAAACAAATAGACAAATAATAGTGAGTTAGAGACAAAAGAGGTAGGAGATTATCAAGAGTTGTGCTATACTTTGGTATCTTCAATGTGGCTTCTAAAGAAAATAAATAGAGCTATACATGAGTGACCTATTGAAAAATCATTAACTATTCTCAATGGTTGTTGTAGGAAACACATAATAATAAACATACATTATGAAATAGGATAGGAACATTACAAACTTAACACAGTTATGGATAGATTAGTAGGAAAATATCAATGGCTGCTGTAATATGTGGTGGTATCTTCAAAGTGGTTTCTCAGGAAGACAGAGATATGCAAGAAGGATCTAATAAGTAGTTACAGCCTAAGGGTTGTCAAAAATAGCATATTACCTCCTCACCAAGCTGGTGAGTTTTATATGTATTTTTCCACAATACAGAAAAATCAAGGACTAGAAATATAGCTCAGTTGTAGAGTGCTTGCCTTTCATACATGAGGCCCTCAGTTTGATCCCTTCCATTTGATCCTTATTAGTTAAAATACAAACATTAACTTTGAACAAGAACAGAAAATAAAAGAACATATCTAGTTTGATACTACTTCTAGGCAGTCCCCAACAATGACTTTTTTTTTTTTTTGGTCTTTCTTGAGACAAGGTCTTGTTATGAAGTTCAGCCTGACCTTGAGCTCACTTTGTAGCCCAGGCTGGTCTTGAACTCGCAATGATCCTCCTACCTCAGCCTCCTGAGTGCTGGGATTACAGGCATGCGCCACCATGCCCAGCTTCAAAACAATGATTTGACTTAGAATTTTTTTCATTTTATGATGGTACAAAAGTGATACACATTCAGTAAAAACTGTCCTTTGAATTCTAACCTTTTTCCAGCTAGCACTATGTGGTGCCATACTCCTCTGCAATGCTGGGCAGCAACAGATACGCTAGAGTGGATAAGGTAAGCAACTGACACTCTACAGTGTATCTGTACTGGGTTGCTAAGCTATGATGTTTTGTATGTGAGGTGTATTAAATACATTTTCAACTTAAAAAATTTTCAACTCATAATGAGTTTATTGGGATGTAATCTTATCCTAAGTAGAGAAATATTGTACATAAGCTCAAAAACATGTAAAACTAAACAATGTACAGTACTGCTTTGGGATAATACTTATTATAAAATAAATAAACGTCAAGAAAACAATAAAAAGCAAGAATATATTTGCAAAGACAAAAAGAAGCTCAGGTAAACTCAAGATATACCTTAGTAGTTTCTGAAAACCTTTTATGTATTCTGGTACAGGACAACCGGCCTGCTGGATAACATTGGCAACACTGAAAAAGGAACCCATAAACATAAACTTATCTCTTGTCAAACTGATGTTTATGTATAAAACTTTATGCACAAGATAAGAGGAACTAAGATTATACAAAGTACTAAAGTAAAATGTTCTGACATCAGTTATCACTTAATGTACCCATGCTGGGCTGCTGAGAGAACTATTCACTGGGCTGAAATCAAGGCATTGATGAATAATTTTAGATAGCAGTTATTTCAATATTAATCAAGTCTTAAAAAAACTAGTAGGCCCAGCCTTAGAGAAAACACAGAATGAAGCCAGAGTCAAGCCTAAACTTATTAAGTAACTGCTTACTATGGGGTTGGCATTATAAATTTTTCTTTCATGTTAACTTACTCCTCACAACCCTATGCAGTAAAATGCTATCATTATCCCCATTTTATAGATGGAAAACTAAGGTATATAGTTACACTGATGTTGAGGTCATCAGAGTTAGAAGCATGGGGTTGCTAAGGAGACCTGAGGTGGCTTTAGGCTGTTGGAATTCACATGCTAAACATGCACATATGAAAGTCTACTCAAAGCTGTACAAAGACTGACAGCCAAAGCTCAGGGGGTACAGGTGAAAATCTTTATCAGAACTGATAAACAGATAAAGTACAAATGCCCTTTGGCCATAACTAAATTTCATTTGTTAGAAATGTGAAGTGCTTCTCAATTATCATCAACCAAAAATTACTGCAGATAGTCAAAATACAGGAAACCCATCCTCTACATTAAAACCTACAGTGATGGGATAAATTAAGATCCAAGTTTCTAAAAGTATGTTACCTAGGCTTCAGAAGGCTACAATGGACAAAAGTTGGAATGTTACTAAAACAGTTTTTCCTATATGGCAAATGATTCTGTGACTAAACATAAAATTCCCTCTTACCCCAACTGTAATGGGAAGGATGTGCCATGGTAAGAGAGAAGCCTAAGTGGGCTAAGAAACTATTAAAAACTATACACTACTTCAAAACCTTAGTATTATACTGTAATCTCCATCAATGGTTGGCTATTAGAAGAGTCCTGTGAATCTGAAACTTAAAACCGAACACTCTGTTTTGAGTATTTCCAAGTTCTAATAACATAAGGGCAAAAACAAGGCTCTTTGATCATTTTTCCTTTCTTGTGGCTAAAAATTTAGTTGACTAATACCATTAATGCAATCTGGTACACAGCTATTTTGTAATTATCTGTTACTAGAATACACAATACAAAAATAATGAAGCAATTCTGTCACCTGAATACTACTATTTTCCGAAATTACCTTCTTAATAATGGTTTGTCATCTTCAGTAAAAAATGTAACAGCTTTTCCCTTATGCCCTGCTCTTCCAGTTCGACCTAAGAGAAATCAGGCCATAAAAAAAAAAACATTTTTTTGAGGTGAAAGGAACTCTCAGGAGTCACATACTGAGTATGTCTGAAGAGAACAGTAAAGGAGCTAAGACATACGAGTGGGTGACAGGCAAAGAAAAAAAGGCAACTCACCTATTCTATGGATATATTCCACTGAGCTGGTTGGAAAATCGTAATTGATGACCAAGTTCACACCTTTAAAATCAATCCCTCTTGCAAGCAAGGCTGTACAAATAAGAACCCAGATTTTTCCTGCTCTGAAGCTGTGAACTGTGTTATCTCTCTAGTTAAGAAAATATATATGTTTTAGTACAATTCTAAGAGTGGAAAATAGGTACTTCATAAATTTAACATCAGTATCTTAAAATTAAGTAGTTCATTATAGTTTTAAAAATATACATTTGACTTCACCTGTTGCTGTGTTCTTTCTGCATGAATAACATCCACATTAATACCTTCATATATGAGCTCATGAAAAAGTTCTTTAGCCCTTTCAATGGACTGGACAAAAACAAGAACAGGTGGATTGAAACCCTGAAAAAAAGATGGTAAAAATTGGCACACACAACTCATAAGCAAGAATATGATCAGTATTTCATACGATTTTAGTTCACAAAAGCAGTCCATTCAATCAAGTGCTTTCATTATCAAATTTCTAAGTCCAGTGGTCTAACTCTGTTTCCATCTTTCCCACCATCTGTTCTCTACAATGGGTTCCTTCCCCTCAATTTGAATTGTATTCACCACTTTGCTAATTCCAATAAATTGGTCCAATCAATCCTTCTTTGCTTTCTTCCAATAATGGATGCTCACTCTGAAAAAATCATCTTGGCTTATATGCCTCAGAACTTTGGTTCTGCTTATAATCGAATTGTGTCTCTTTAATTGTTTAATTCTAATTTTGGCATTTTCTCACATCTCAGTCCTTTGAGCTAACTTCTTTCAATATAGTCTTTACCTTACTGTGTCAAGTGCTCTAAGCAAATTATTTTTACCATTTGTATCATCAAACCCTACCTCTCTCTTAGACCAGCTTTCTTTATCTTTGAACGTCCACATCAGGGCTTTTTAGCTTTTATTGAGGTGGGGTACTCTATCGCTGAGTTACAGTATGTACATCTCTAGCCCTTTTTATTTTGAGACAAAGTCTCATTAAATTGGTCAGGCTGGTCTTGAACTTGTAATCCTCCTGCTTCTGGTTTCTGAGTATCTGGAATTACAGGGAGGGGTGGTCACTGAATCTGGCAGTACTTTAATTTTGTTTTACATACCCATTTGGAATCTAAGGAAAGCTATGAGGTTTTCTAACAGGTAGGAATTCGGGAGGAACTGCTAGGCTAAAGCCAACCCAAGGTTTTCTAACATGGCTAAAATTCTCTGATGTATTATCTTCATCTGAGTATCTGTGAAGATCTTAAGTTTCCCAGTGGCAAATCACATGCATTCACTATGTGCCAAGAACTACTTTTAAGTACCATGTTTGTATTAACTCAAATCCTAAAACAATTTTAGGAAGTACAGATTATCCCACTTGACAAACGAAGAAACTGTGGAACAGAGAGGCAGTAAGTAACCCAAAGGTAGAATGGGTGGGCTAGAATTTCAATCCAGGCTTCTGGCTCCACAGCCCATAATCTAACTTCTAGAGCACACCACTTCTGTAGTCACCAGGTACGTGGGAACACCTTTCTCTTGCATGTTGGAATTCTTCTGGATATTCCTCCACTAACGCTGTCATGCTCATTTACTTCTTCCTCATCTCTGCATATCCTTATTTAACAGCCTGGTATTTTCATTACTTTCAGCCTTTTCCTTACCATCTTACATATTTTTCGACTATATTTTTTAAAAATTACGTGGTCACTTTCGTCAAAGCTATCTAGTGGTCTCTCTCAACCTGACCCTAACTTTCCTATCCACCCTGATTTTAAATGCCCTACCTTTAACTGTTTGTCTTGTACAAGTAACTTCATTAGTCTCCAAACACATGGTGTGATGGAGACTGCTATGAAGCAGCCCAAAGCAGGACTTAAATTAAACAATGGGCTTTTTATGTTTACTTGTGAATCTGTCCAAAGCCTAGGCTACTTGTCTGGAAGTGGGTGACAGAATCATAGTAAGTGAACCTCTGTGAGTCACTAATCCCTACTAAAACCTATAATGGCAGATGAAGCCAGAAAGCCTCAAAGGGTAAGACAAGATCACAGCCAAGAACAGCTGGAGATCTCAACTAGATAAAGACTATAGCCTCAGGCTTCTCACTCCTGGGTGGATTAACTTAATCCTTATTAAGGATTAATTTAATACCTTACTCGGAGAAGTCCTTGAGTAATTCTGCTCTTCTTGAGTACTCTCCTCCCTTCTGATAATCAAATAAATATGGGCCACCCAGAGAAGGTCTTGGTCTTAGCCCTGAGAAAATCTCAAATTCTGTGAGAAGGCTTTGATCCTCCTGGAGCCCTGAATTCATTCCATTTGCCTCTATTTAGCCTTTGCCATACACTCGTTTGGGAGATTGAAGACCTGATCAGTCCGCAATAAATAAAGGACATTATTAACCTGATAATAGTGTTCATCTCCACCTCTTCAAGCTTTCTTTATTCAGGCTGCTCTCTCAGACTGTAATACTCTTCCCCTTTGCCATACAGACCTTTCAAGGCTCAGATTAGTAGCATTCTGCTAGAAGGTTTTCCCCAATCAATCAAGGCCATTCTGAAAGCCCCATCATGATTTGATGGATGCTTAAGAAAAATGCTCTTTTAGACTTTCATGGCACTTTACACAAATTATAGTACACAGATGCAATTATTTTATCCCCTAAGTAAGGCTAAAGTCCAGGGAATAGGATTTAGGACTTACATTTTTTTTAACTCCCTAGCCTGACCCTCATCCCCCCCATTATTTAACTTAATTTTAACTATGCTTCTACTCAATACATATTAAAGAATAAAAAAAGAAAAAAACAATTCAATGTTTTACTCATTCTACACCATTCCAGTTCTTCTGTAACAAACTAGCAAAGGGATGGCGGGGAAGAAGGGGCCATATATATGCAGATTAGAGAAAATGTAGCTTTTGAGGCATTTTCAGTAAATCTGCTCTTAAACTACTCTGAGCCAGGAACAGAAGACTTACTACCACTGGATTACTAAATATGATGCATAATGCTAATGATATAATGCTGGGCCTCCCACTGTAATATAAGGCTTGGTCAAGTTTACCAAAATTCAAGAATGTAGTCTAAATATACCTTTTTAACAAGTTCTCTCATGGCCAGAAGTTTTCCTGTCTCAGACCCAACAAAGAGAAGTTCTTGTTCTACAGTCTCTACTGCAGAATTCCTGAAAAGAAAATGTACCTTATAGTTAACAAAAGCCAATTTTTGCTTTCCCTATGAACTCTAAAATAAATGAAAAAATTTATACATGACTCCAACAGAATCAACTTTTCCATGGCCAACATAAGTACTTAATTATTTATACTTTCATTTGAAGGCAAAATGGATCCTTTAAAATATTTTATTCAAACAATAATGTGATATAGCCTGGAGGTGGTGGTGCACACCTATAATCCCAGCGCTTGGGATGCTGAGGCAGGAAGATCACCATGAGTTTAAAGACCAGCCTATGTAATGAGTTCAAGGACAGCCTGGACTTACATAGCAAGACCCTGTCTCAAAAAACAATACAAAAACAAAAACAAAAACAAAAACAAAGATCCCCAAACCAAACCAAATCAACAAACAACAAAACCAAGAAAGTGTTAAATTACTGGGTAAAATAATGAGAACATTTTTTTTAACATGGAAAGTATGTTTATATGTTAAGTATAAAAGGGACATAAAATCTTATGTATAGTAGAATAACAACTATCTAAACATACCAAAAAAATCTCTGCACAGAAATGTCTAGAGGAACATTTAACACCAAAAGATTAACAGTGCTATGTAGCATTTGGGTAGCAAACTGATTATATAAATTCCTAAATTTTTAAAAAGCAATAATTATGATTGCAACAGGGAATATTTAAAAGATACCCTACTGGCTGGTGGTTTAGCAGTGTAGTATCACTGTTGCGTACAAAGTGGCTTTGGCCTTGAGTCTTCAGAAGGTGATAAGCAGCCCCTCCCCACTGAGGAGAGCTTACACACCCGGCTACTAATACATCCCTGCAGTGCAGCTCTCAGCCTAAATTCTTTCTTCTCTCTTATCTCTACCACCCTAGTGCCCCAGGTCACTGCCAGCTGCATCTTGTCCCTTTTCTGAGCAACTCTGGAGCCAACTGTAGTGCCACAGGGCCCAAAGGTAGAGGCTGTGAGCTGTGGGATTTTCAAAGGACATGGTACTTCAGACACAGAAACTCAAACACAAACTATTCCTGCTGCGGGGCAAGTCGTTTTGTCATTACAGATTAGTAAATTACATGGTCTTTCTTGTTAACCCATGAGTTCAAGCACTGTCTCTGAAGTTAGTCCTAACATGAATTTTCTACCTTGGGGAACATTTTAAATATTATATATGAATAAATTTTTTTTGTCATTAGTGTGGGTTTATTTAGACTGACAAGTGGGGATGAGAACTGTATTAGGGCTTTATAATACTTTATACGATGCTCCAACCTATGATACTATGTGATAAATACTTTTCCCATTCTATTTTCTGCCTTAAATCATGTTTATGGTATAGTTTTCTGGTTTCTTTCTATATACATAGAAGTTTTAAGTTGAAAGTAGACAGGGTAAAGAATACCTTGTCCAATCTGCTTCTCTCTTTGAGATTTATTTCTCAACCTTGTGCTCCTGAACTTGAGAACTCCTGCTTCAGATTCCTGAACAGCTGAGGCTATAGGTATATGCCTATACCTATAATATGTACAATTTTCTTTTTCACTTATGTGGTATTATAAGCACTTTTCATATATCTATAGTCTTTATACTTACTGTTTCATTGGTTTCATGATATTCTGTCAGGTCTCAATATCATAAATTCCTTGAACTTTGTTTTTTTTTTTACCCGTACATCTATTTAGCCTGAAATGCTCCCCCTCAATTTACTTCCTTTTTCATCTTTAATTTTTTTAGTGGTGCTAGGGATTGACCCTAGGGCCCCATACCTGGAATATAAGTGCTCTATACACTGAACTACAACTCCTACAAAATATTTTTTAAAAAGGCATTAGAAATCAAGTGCCTCAGTAATATGTTTTCTCTCCTAGTCTTACTTACATAAATCATCAGAGAAATTGAATCCTGAGTGTCCACAGAGATCATGTCATATTTTGTGAATGAGAAAAGTCAAATAAAAGCATGATGATGAAACAATAGGAAAATATAAAACTCTCCATATGATTATGAAACAAAAACCCCTTAATCAATCTTGTCTTTAAAAAATACAGTATCAATAAAGCTGTCTCCCATGTTAGTCACATTCCTAACAAGCTATCTTCCTTGAGCCTAAAACAATCACATATTAAGAAAACAAACTAGGGGGACAAAGTGGAAAAACAATTACCTTGCACCAATGGATACAGTGATGATATTGTCCAAGTTGAGTTTGCACCACTGTTCAACATCATATGCAAAAGTTGCACTGAACATAGCTCTTCTGACTTGGTGGGATGTACAGGCCAGGAAAATGGAAGCCAGCTGGTCTCTAAATCCAGTTTTGCCATCTTCAAACAGTTTGTCTGATTCATCTACCACCAGCCATTCAACACTAAGAGATAACAAAGTAACTGTGGATATTGCAGTGTAAGATACAAAAACACTTCACTAAACTGTGGGAACACATGAATGTCAACCCATGATGCTGGTTCTAAGATCTGCTTTATCATACCTGAAAAAAGTAAAAAAAGAAATAGCACAAAAAGGATAGAAGGCTGGGGATATAGCTCGGTAGTATAGTGCCTGCCTAACAAGCACAAGGTCCTGAGGTCGATTCCTAGCACCAAAAAAAAAAAAAATGTACTTATTCTATTAACTTGAAAGATGAAGTTCCACTAGGAATGATAGAGCTTTCCATGAATCTCATGAACCCTGTTACCTTCACTGAAAGATATAAAAAGGTCTAGGGAATTATGTATTAACTGCTAATCAAAATGTGTAACTTTCTTCCACACTGGATAGTTATTTTTCCTATGAGTTTAATGAAGCACCAACTTCAGGTGGCAGACAGCAAGCTCCAAAGGGCAATAATATAAGCAATTAAGAACAAAATAGAATCAACTAAATGAAAAACACCCATGAAAGACATTAAACTATTATCTGTACCTTGTCAGGTCTATTCCTGGTGGATCTTGCTTTAATAAATAGATGAGTCGATTTGGAGTAGTCACAAGAATATCTACAGGAAAAACAAATGGTAGAAAATGCAAAAGTAAGACAACCCTTTTGAACTAAGGAATTAAGCCTCCTGAATTTCAGTCGATAATCTTCAGTGGGAAAGTAGTTATTCACATAAAAGCTTTTCCTTATTTCCTCATTATAACATAAACTACTATATCCCTACCCTCTTTTTTTATTATATTGAGCAGCCTTCTCAACTTCTAAGAGGCAAGAACACTATATAATCCAATAATTTGATTTGCAGTTTTTTTAAGAAAAATTTTTTCTTTAAATACTTTTGCAGCTCAAGATAAAAGACATAAAAAGCAGATTTTCACTTGTTGTGCATGCCTGTAATACAGCTGTTTTGGAGGCTGAGGCTGAGGCACTGCAAGTGTGAGCCCAGCCTGAGCAACTTAAGAGAGATTGTATCTCAAAACGAGTAAAATGATCTGGGGAAATGGCTCCGTGGTAGAGCTCTTGTCTTGCCTCTTGCCTAGCATGTGCAAGGGCCATGGAATTTTATCCTCAGTAATAGGGGAAGGGGGATTCTCTGGCTAGTACAAGGAGAGAAGGAAGTAATCATTCTTATACGCCAGAGTAACTCCATGGCAGATTAGGAATCACTGGCATAAGCAGGGTTTTCCAACCTCAGCACTACTGATATTTTGGGCCAGAAAACTCTTACTCGGACAGGGCTATCTCAGGTATGTAGAATGTTTAACACTATTATCGTGGGCCTCTTCCCACTATATTTATAGAGAGCCCTTTTTGGTCCTAGTTGTGGCCCAGGAAGTTTATATTTGTAATCCCATGGAAAAGTTATTGCAATTCTAGCGAGTTAATTCCAATCTACTACTTTTAGTGCAACCCATGGTGAGAGTAAAGACACTACAGCATATTTGTAGTTATGGGGAGCCAAGGGGCCCTAAGTTCAGCCAGGATGATGGCTGTCTGGAACAAAGACCTCGACCCAGGGCTGATCCCAGGTTTTATTAATTAGTGAAGGGAGTGGCTTGAGGATGGGTGACTGTGAGAATGGTGGGAAACAGGTGAATGCTGTGAGCTGGGCCAGGTAGGAGGCCTGAAATCACCTCTGCCATATGCAGAGAGAAGGATATGCAGAAAGACTAATTTGCATAACACAACTGAGATAGTATCTAATGTTTTGGGGTCTGTGCTTTAGCTCTGATGTATACTCTTTCAAGCCCCAGGAAGTTATAACCTCTCTGGAGGCTGGATCTCCTCATCCTGCCTCACAGAAGGGAACAATGAGGGTGGGAGGTGTCCAGGAAACACTGCCTGCCGTCTTCAAAGACTACCATCAGAACCTCAGCAGGACTGATAGGCATTGCTCAAAGCCAATTGAAGGGGTAAGTAAAAGTCCTAGCCAGCTCTGCATATATTAATACATGGAAATAGGGCCTGCTTCAGCCAAAATGGAGACAACTGCTCCTCCTCCAGGGAGAATCGCCCACGTGATCCTCCACAATACAGCAGCTACTGGTTCCCCTCCCTAGTTTCAACAACTGGCATAATTGCCAAATGTCACTATGATAAAAGAGGGTAACATGCAAAATTATCTCACCACTGGTATATATTTATATAGCTACTGGGAGCAGTAGGAAGAGGATCTTGTTTAGCTTCTTTAAAAATAAAACTAATTATGTACATGACTAAACTCTTATGTGATAATTACGATATTTATAATTCCCAAATGTTTTACATACTCTACATTCCAAGGATAAATTTCTTTTGTTTGTATTTTTTTGAGACAGAGTCTTGTTATGCAGTTGAGGCTGGCCTTGAACTTACTGTGCAGCCCAGGGTTGGCCTCAAACTTGCAGTGATCCTCCTGCCTGCCTCATCATCCTAAACTGCTGGAATTTCAGGGGTTCACCACCACACCAGCCCAAGCATAAATTTCTTACCAAACTTCCTGGATGATTTAGGTCCAAATTTCTTGGCTGCCTCTGCTGCTTTGTGGATCATGTGTATCCTAAATCCCGTTCCCTCAGAGATTTTAATTAACTCTCGGTGAATCTAAAATAGGAAATGCTAAAAACATGAGCTGCAAAGATACCTGGATAGACTGTACAGCTTCTTTTACATTATTAGTAAATCTATTACCAACACCTGACTATCTCATTTCAAACCTATAATAATCTATAGTTTAACCTGAGGTGTCAGCATTTTAGAATGTCAAAGCCTAATGAGATACAAACAACAGTTACTTCAAGACCTAGTAAACTAGTTCTAAGATCTAAAGGCAACATTCTTTAAACATGTTACATACTGCTTCCAGAATACAGTGCTATTATAATATTATCTCATACCTGGCATGTGTTTTGTATTTTTTTTTTTTTTT